AAAGCTCTTAACTGGGTAAAAAACTCCGGGGAGAAAACTGGTAGTTTTCACTATACACAATAAGAACTTGCAGTACGATCTAGCCTAAAAAACTTACTAGACTCGCTGATTTCTGCAATTTCCAAGACCCACTGGAACGTGCTTCACTCATACCTGCTCCCGATCTTCTGAATTGCATATCTCGTGTGGATCACCCAAAACACCTTGTTCTTGTACTCTTTATGAGCTTTTGGTCCAACCTCTTTCAAACTTTAGCCATCTCTGAAAAGTATTGAGAAAGTACATTCCCGATTATATCTAGGAAGTAGATATTTTGGATTAATTGACTTTGATGTTTTTTCCAACTTGTGGATTGATCTCAAGAACCAAATGGTCAATCTCAATGTTTAGATGTATTCTTGGATTGATGTTATGAGATTGTAAAACAATGATCAATCACTACCAAAAACGTAATGGGTACTGGGTATTTATAATAAGAGGTATTTAGGTATTATAGGATAAATAGAACTTTTGAACATCGTGAAATAGATCACGTCACTGTCGCTTGAGTGCCAGTCTAGTAACATGAGAGCGAGAGGTGTGTTGCTCGAGCGATAGGCGGGTGACAATGATTATGCATTTTCTGTTCGAGCATTAGCTAGACGACATGCTAGCGTAAATCTGATGACTCTTTCACCTTGTTCTATACTCGAACCCAAAGACTCCTAATTTATGTATGCAACCCTCCAAAAGACTCCTTGACTTTTACAATTTTTTTATAATAATCATTTTGTCTAAAAAATTGTCAATACAACATAAATCCTAATGAAGAGTATATCCCTCCACACGCTTGCACTCTCCACTAAGCTGAATATTTTATTTCTCACCTTAGACCTGCTGCCTCTTTATGAAAGTAAGATATTTTTTAACTACAAGCTATAACCAAACAGCCTTTACACATTGTGCCCAGTACATTTTATCCTTTCCATATAATTTCTCAGGTTTGCCTCTTCCATCCTCTGTGTAGCATTATACAACCATTGCGTTTACCTTTTAGTTACTAATAGAACAATAGATGACATGTTAATCTTTAAGATGAAATTGCTTGTGGAACAGAGGAAATATTAACTTTCTTTAAACTTCAAACAATGTTCTTATCTAAGTTCAAATTCAGAAAAGAAAAAAAAGGTTTTAAATCTAGCAAGAAAAAAAAAGTATAAAATGAATGCTTTGTTTTCTTTGGCATGAAAAGGTTTTTTTTTTTTTAAATAGAACTATTCGTTTTCTTTGGCATGAGTAATTTTCAAGGAATTTTTACGAATTCATAAATTCATGGCTCTAACTATCTTCCTAAATCCCCAGGACCAAGAGGGCACATGGATGCTTCGAGAACTTATTCAGTATGGCTCATTTTCCTTTTTTGTTTTGATTATTTTAAATCCTTTTGACTTCGTCCGTCGGTGATGAGTTTTGTTCTATAAAAAAATTGGATATTTCATCATTGTGTGTGACATGTGCCTGGCACGTTTCTGTGTCCGATATTTTTCATGACAGTCACTCTGTGCCCAGCCCTTACACATTGTGTCCAGTACATTTTATCCTTTTCATATAATTTCTCAGGTTTGCCTCTTCCATCCTCTGTGTAGCATTATACAACCATTGAGTTTACCTTTTAGTTACTAATAGAACAATAAGATGAAATATTAATCTTTAAGATGAAATTGCTTGTTGAACAGAGGAAATATTAACTTTCTT